GGTAGAGAAGTTGTTCCTTATGTTTAAGTTGAACCTCCTGTGTTCCAGTTTGTGACCATTGCCCCTTGTCCTGTCAGTGGGCACAACCAAGTAGAGTCTGGTCCCATCTTCCTGACACCCACCCTTTAGATGTTGATAGGCATTAATGAGAGTGCCCCTCAATCTCCTCCAGGCTGAACAGGCCCAGCTCAATAAGCCTTTATTTATTTATATGGCGGATGCTCCAGTCCCCTCATCATCTTAGTGACAGATCAGAAGTTTTTACTGGGTATTAATTAGGAGTCACAGAAGGGGCAAAATAACATTTTGACTGAAAAAAAATCCTGAAACAGTAGCTCTGTGAAAACAGAAGTTATGGAATTAATGACGCACATGATGCTCACAATCATGTTCAGATGTGAAGGGATACACTAAGACTTTGCAGCACAAGTTCTTAGTAAAGATAAACCTAACATGGTATTAGGGTCGCTTTACCTGAAGCACAATAAGTTTAATTAATTGCTTAGGCCTCTTCTGCCTTTCAGTAAACACATACATAGCAAGAGAATATGAAGAGGTGTCCGAATTTCAGACTTCTATATGAAACAGATTGAATTCAGCTATGTTCCTTGTTTTTTTCATCAGCAGGGAATTTGATTTATTTAACTTTCTCATAATTGCATAAAATATTTCAGGACATAATTCTGGTCTAAAATCTCCACAGGAAGGCAGAAGTAGAGGGCCTGTGATATCTGTCTACCTGCTTTCATTTGCATAGGGGAATTTTCATGTGCATGGAAGTATTCTTTCTTTATACTGGTTTGCTCTTGCTGTTTTTGCTTGATGTCTCAAGCAGTAGCTCTAAAAATGGCTTACAGGTAATGTGTCTTGTTCTGATCTTCTGCTGTAGTTGCAAGAATTTAGACTTGCGGTTGGGGTTTGATCTATGTGCAGAAGAACAGGATTTCCTAAGTAAAAGGAAGAAGGTGGTTGCTGCTGCTCTGAAAAATATTCTTCATCTAGATGAAGACCTGCAGGAGGATGAGGTATGTGGGACAACGTCTTGGGAACTTAGTGTTCTGTCTTAATTTGAACAAAGTGGGTGTGAAGTACTTACATGACACTCCCCATGTAGCTCTTCCATATCTTCTACACTAAAATGTGTAGGCCGGATTGTCACTTGCACCAAAGAACACATCAAAAACCTTTTGGCACAGAGGATGAAAGAACTGTCAGGAGGTCACTTATAGCTCCTTTATTCTCTGCCAACCTCCATCCTCACTGAGGTACACCCAAAGTACGTATTTGTTGAGATGAACATATGTATAAACAAGCATGATGAAATTTGGTTGTTTGGTCTAAGGCCATTTCTCCTCAGTTTGGCATCTCTTCCCTTCTCTGCTGCTACACAAGGCTCAGAGAGGGAGGCTGTAACTCTCCCTTAGCACACTGGTGCAGCAGCATCTGTCTTGAATGTTTTTTTCCAAAGTATTACCTCTTGCTTTCTTCTCTCCTGGGGATCCCTCGGCTCAGAGGTAGCTGCTCTGTTCCTGCAGAAGAGTCATTTGTTATGGGGCTGTGGTGCTGGGAACAAGGGTCAGGGAGACACCTTCTGCGCCTCGGGGAATGTGCCTGTGTGGGATTTCCTCCACTGCTCTGTTCAGTTCCCAGCACACCCATCCCTTGATGCTGTGTGCAGGACAGATTCTGTCAACCAAGTCAAAGTGCTCATAAACTTAAATAGAATGGGACTTCTTATTAAATGAGAGTAGAGGGTTATTGAGTCACATTAATTATAAAAAACAAAACAAAACAATAACCCTTCCCAAAGTAGATGACAAAATATAATGAAGACAACAGTAAAGGTACTGGTAAGATTTGTTCCTAAAACTGAATTAATATGTAGTCTCATTTTTAGTTAAGGTCTACCTATGAGGCAAAGGGAGGGTGGCTAACAGAACTACTGCATCTCTGAGGAAAGTAAGACCAAACAGCATATAGCAGTGATGTCAGGCTAGGGGGAGGTAATCTGAGTAACAAAGATTATGTTAAAATAAATCTGTAAAGCTTGGTGTCATCTGCCTGGAGAATAATCAAAGTATATAAACTTAGAGGAAGAAAAGGTTATGCAGGCAGCTTTTGCTCTGCTTCTCTGATCTCAGTTTTACTCAGGATTTTAAAATGTGTTTTGAGTGAAAGATGTGAGGACAAATTAAAAAAAAAATCCAGAAAAGACTCTTCACAAATCTGAAAATGGACTATGCCATACAAGAGCCATGCTTACAGCTTCTGACTCGCCAAAGAATCACAGATCAGGAAGATGCTTTCAGTGCACACCAAGTCCCACCAAAGTTTACACAACTCGGACACACAACTAAGTGCTGCCGTGAAGGTGGTGAATTGAATCCAAACCTACCTGAATCAGGGTGTTCCTGTTACTTCTTATGTATGCCCATCACGTACCTATTTCATCTGGTAATGAACAAGCCTGTGCCTTTGTGTGTTGAGCAGGTGCCAGTGGTGGCAGTCATGACCACAGCTGGAGGAGTGCGGTCCATGACGGCTATGTTTGGTAGTCTTCTGGCTCTCCAGAACTTAGGTGTTTTGGACTGCGTCTCATACATCAGCGGTTTATCTGCCACAACATGGTAAGGAGACTTGGGCTTGTGCTTGCTGTTTGTGTTAGCAGAGTGATAACCTGGTGAAGATGTTGCCTTGCTGATGAATTTTGCTCAGCATGACACTGGGACTTGGCTTCCTTCTGATGCTCGCTCATTTCATGGGACTACTCAGTGCTGTAGCCCTTATTTCTTCTAGCTACAAGAAACAAATTGAGTGGGAACTACTGTGTTTCTGTATTTGCACTGAAGTGTTTACAGAAACTAAAGAGCACGAGCAAGGATGGTTTACCTGTATCTCCTTGCAGTTCAGTGTCAGTGACAAACCCACCTCCAGCTGTTCTGTGGCTTGGAGATGTGCCTTTCTAGGATGTTTTTGAATGCATCCCTGCAGCAAAAATATCATCGTAAACTCTAAATTCTGCCTGAGCTTTTAACTGTTCTTCCAAGGTAAAAGTTGGAGGGTGAAAGCCTCATGTAACCTGAAACAAAATGCTTGTATGGTATAAGCCCATGAATTATCATGTACCCAGTGAACCACCACAGTATGTTTCTTTTTACTAGGGCCATGGCAAAGATATATGAAGATGCAAATTGGTCACAGAAGGATCTCAGAGGACCAATTTGTGATATCAGGCAACATGTGACCAAGAGCAAGCTACACTGTTTCTCGTTGGATCATATGAAATACTATGAAAAGGAGCTTTGTAAAAGAAAGCGAGACGGGCACAAGCTGTCCTATACAGATTTATGGGGACTCTTCATTGATTGTATGATACATCATCAGGTATTATATATCCAACCCTTACTTCAGAGGATTGATAACTTTTCATGTCTAAAGTTCTGGATTCAGCTATAGGAAAGGCTCTCAAAACTTCTGAGGACTCCTTCTTTGGCATTTTTAAAGAAAAATAACACAGTAAGCCTAACATGTAAGCATCTAGGGAAGTATCTGAGTACATAAAAAAATCAAAGTATTAATGAAATTGATTTTCCACCTGTAATTTCAGATCAAATGAGCATTCTAGAAACATGCAGAGGAGAGATGGCTCTGACGGAGCTAAGTTCAGGTGTATCAATATAGAACCATATCAGCTGACAAAGCTGTACTGAATGAAACTGGTCCAGGTTGACTTTTATCTGCAGCACCTACAAGGTAGCTGAATATCTGTATCTTTCCTGAAAGCAAGTTGTATCCTAGTAACTGTGTGGACACGTTTCTCACACTTTCGCTCTGTCCTTTGTGCCAAAATTCCCAGAAGCATCAGTGATAATGCTTTGGTGAATGTTGATGACAGAAAACACATTTGTGTAGTCAAACAGCTGAAGTTCACAGAACAAAAATATGCTGAGGTGTAGGAGACATTTAACTGACAGTCCATGCTTAGATGCTATATTAAGTCCATGCATCATGTTCATCTTTTACAATGGCTTCTGCTCTTGATAAACAGGAAAGTACTCACAAACTCTCTGATCAACAACTGGCAGTAAACCAGGGGCAGAATCCACTGCCTGTATACCTGTCCCTCAATGTCAGGGATGGCTTTAGCACTCTGGATTTTAAAGGTAATGATTATTACATGTGCTTATATTAATCTAAGAAGTTTCCTTTTAGTGCTGGGTGAAGGGAAATAGAGGGACCTGAGGAGGGGCAGCAGTCTGTACCCTGATCAGTGATCACAGCGATCAGTGATGCTGATCACTAACTATTTCCACACAGTTTTTTGGCCCAAATGAAGCAGGAGGTCCTGCAACTGAACCTGGTCATCTGCTTCTAGACACAATTTGCAGTCCCAGTGTATTCAGTCAAAGTTTGGGTGGGTTTTGGTCAGAGTTCTTTAGCTTCACAGGGGAGTGATTATCAGAGTCTACGAATGAATGATAGCTGGTGACATTGCTGACTCATAAGAACTAGAAATTCCACATCTTATGCAGGGCCTTAGGAATCGGTGGACTTTCAGCCCCAGTTTTTGCATCCTAGTACAGAAATGAACCCAAACTCGAAGCAGAATGAATTTTCAGTGTTAGTGGAGAAGGTGGATTTAGCTTTTGCATTCACCAATCTAACACACAATGTACTGAAGAGCATTTGTTTGATTCAAAACATGATGGTTTGAACTGTCACCAATATGCTGAAGCTACAGGCCTTGTTCTTCCAGCTTTTGATTCTCTAAGCTGCTATTTTTACATGTGTTCAAGTGGCTGCAATAAATCCTTGATGCCTTATTTGCAGAGTGGGTGGAGTTCACACCTTATGAGGTGGGTTTCCCAAAATATGGGGCCTATGTTCGTTCAGAGGATTTTGGTAGTGAGTTCTTCATGGGCCACCTGATGAAGAAGATCCCAGAGTCCCACATCTGCTTCTTGGAAGGTGATTTACTATCTCTGAAAAACATGACCTTTATAACAGCATATTTGGCTACACAGAGTTGGCATCTAATAACTACTAGTCTGCAACTAGCAAAATTAGTAAACTAGATAATGTATCTGATGCAATTTATATCTTAAATGAACAAGCCAAGAGTGACAAAAGAGAAAGCAAATTCTTGAGACAAATGCAATTAATTTGTTGAACTTCTTATGTTAGGCCAAACTGGAACATACACATTGGAACTGATCTTTTGAAGTACTTTAAATCACAATCTGACTTTTATAAGCAGCCAAGTTTCTAAAACGGCCTAGTCATCAGCCAGAGATTATGTGGAACAGTATGACATTTGATATTCATACTAAAAGTTAATAATATTTTGTAACTAAAACAGTGCTAATTTAAACAACCGCAGGGACTGAATCCAAGTAGGTTGCCTTAGCTGTGCTCTAGAATTTCAAAGTAGTATTAAGTATGCTTTTTCTTTGTTTGTTTTTAAAACTTTCAAGGCACGTGGAGTAATATATTTTCCCATAGTTTTATGGATGCTGTCTACCTCTCGGGTCATTCAGAGGACTTCTGGCACAGATGGACCCAAGGCACTAAGCATGACATTGGTTAGTTATTTTGATTACTTTTCACTTTCATCGGCATTGCCTTCACACCTCTCTGAAATGTGAAACCCAACGTTCTTTAAAGGGCTTGGCTTTGTGTCCTGTTTCTGGGTTAGGGGACACCAAGCCCTTGGGAATGAAATGAAAACAGGAGACACAGTTGTGCTGGAAAACAGGAAAAACCATTGTGCTGCTCGCTGTGCAACATCCCTGGCCGGTTTTGTTAGTCATGAGATGATTACCATGAGTCCTTTGGGGAGGGAGAGGCCAGACAGGGAACAACAAGGTGATGCTGTGACACTGAAAACCCACTTTTGCCCAGAACATTTGGCATGTCAGTGCATGCACTCCACCACAGATAGGGCCGTGGTGGTCTGACTGCCCGGCCCCTCCTTCTTTATTTTTATTAGTATCAGAGAAACACTCTAAATGCAGACATAAACCTTCTTCTCATTCTTCCTACAGAGGAACGGCCTGCTCTGCCCATGAAGCCTCATGAACAGCCAACTTGCTTATCCACTCCCCAAGGTTTCCTTTCTAATACTCTTCGAGAAATGATAACTAAGCGGCCAGTGGTTTCAACGTACAATAACTTTCTCAAGGGTTTGCAGCTCCATAACAAATATCTAGAGAATGAGAGCTTCTGCATGTGGAAAGGTAATAGTAAATTGTATTAAATGCATCTCTGAAGGTGATTTGAGTGGTCATAAAGACAAATTTTGATTAATATTGTTTGGTTAATATGTCTGTGGAATTGGTATTGCTGAGCTGCAGATGATTTACTGCTGGCCTTGCTTCTGTCTTGGAGAAGCCATAGTGGGCTTGCTTGAATTCTGTGCTTCCTAGGAAAAGCTTCAAAAGAACGACTTACAGTTTTGACTGACACTAAATAGCCACAGATTTACACCAGTTGAAAAAGCAGCTTAACATGTCACTTTGGATGAAGCGGTCTCAGAACTGCTCCCTCTTACTGAACTCAGATTTGAGCCATAGATGCTAAAACAACTGTGGGCTTTGTGTCAAAGACTAATATAAGTGTAGATGGTCTTTTCTTTCTTTCCATGTTATGTTGATTTGGAAAACAAAAACTTGACTTGCACCTACAGTAATTAATCGATAATGTAACTTTTTGACTTTCAGACACAGTGCTTGATACTTCTCCCAATGAACTGAACAAAATGGGTGACTACCTCAAGCTGATAGACACAGCTTTCTTCATCAACACCAGCTGCCCACCCATTCTGAGGCCAGAGAGGAAAGTGGATGTCATTTTGCATTTAAATTACAGCGGAGGACCACAGACTCTGGTGACACTTTTTTTTTAACAGAAAATGTTCTAGTTTTCATTAAGTTAAATAATTGTATCAGTGATACTATTCAACACTGTGACCATAATGTCATTGTCTTTACTGGGGCTATTTTCAGTAGCTTTCTGGGACACACACATTGACACAGACACACAGAGAAGATCACAAGTTCTACGTATTTGTGGAGATTTGTCATTGTGGTACCAAGTTCCTAAATAGTTCGTTATAAAAGTTTTACAATGTAATTAGTTAATACATAATTTTGCTATTTTTGAACGAAAATTTAGAGTTTTTCTTTTATGTTTGACCCTTGGTATTTGCATAAGTTTCTGTCAAGTTTTTGATTTGCTGCGTTTGAAGAAACATTAAGGAGTGTATATAATTGAAATCAATGTAATGTATTTGTTGGAGGACATGAAGACATTTATTGTCAGATGCACTGAATGCAAACATTCAAGAACCTGTGATCTGAGATACCATGTGTAATCAAAATTTCCTGATCCAAATCCTCTATTGTGCCCACTAAATCTCAAAAATGACCTGAATTTCATATCAATGACAGAAAAGAGTAATCTTGCTTTAAAAATGTACAGTGTTAGCATATCAACCACATTTCTTTTGCCCAGGGTATATTAAAATCAAGAGGGTATGCTTGTTAGCATAAGGCATAGTTAGCCTTATTGTAAACATAAATCAATCACAGATTGCCTAGTACAGTAAGAGATAAGTTATTGGGCTTGGTAGCCTTATATCAATCTCTCTGTGTTTCAACTGTGCTCTGTGTTGAAGCAGCCACTGGACCAGTTCTCAGAGTACTGTTTGGCGCAGGGGATCCCATTGCCCAGCACTGAGCTGAGCCAGGAGGAACGGGAACACCTGAAAGAGTGCTATGTGTTTGAGGACAGCTTAGAAGCACCAGTCTTGGTCTTTTTCCCACTGGAGTGTGATACCTTCCAAAAATACAAGGCACCAAGTAAGTTAACAGCATTAATCAATCATTTTTTATGAAAACATAATGAAGAAAGGATTTGCCAGGATAACAAGCTGCTTTGATAATCTGTCACTTTTTAAAAGTTGCCAGGTTATTTACTCTAGTTCACAGAATCACAGAGTGTTAGGAGTTGGAAGGGACCTCAAAAGGACACCTAGTCCAACCCCCCTGCCAGAGCAGGATCACCAGAGCAGGTCACACAGGAACGCGTCCAGGCGGGTTTTGAACGTCTCGGGGTCCTCCTTCCTACCCTTTTTAAAAATGGGCATAATGTTTCCCTTCTTCCAGTCACTAGGGACTTCATCTGACTGCCATGGCTTTTCAAATATCATGGAGAGCGGCTTGGTGACTACACCAGCCAATTCCTTCATGACTCTGTGATGCATCTCATGAGGTCCCATGGACTTGTGTATGTTCAGGATCTTCAGATGGTCATGACTCTTGTCTTCTCTTACAGTGGGAGGGAATTTCTCTCCCTGGTCTCCGTCTTGTGGGCCATAAACTCGAGAGCTGTGAGAATGAGTGTCAGTGAAAACTGAGGCAAAAAAGTTGTTGAGAACCTCAGCCTTCTCGTCGTCTGTTATTACTAGTTCCTCACTGTTGCTCATCAGGGAGAGTACACTTTCTTTAAACCTTCCTTTCCTGGTTCACATAACTGTAGAAGCCCTTCTTGTAGAACGGCTAGCTTTCTGGTGTCCTTTTCCGTGAGTTGGTAGATTAGGAACTGTTGGCTCAGTACCCGATGGAAAAGTTAAAAATACAAAATTCAAAATCTGCAAAAATGAAATGTTCTTATGGAAAACCTTCATTTAGAGAGGAAAATATTTTGCATGGAAAAATTGTTCTGTCCATTGATTCTGGATCAGCTGTGACTGTAGTCAAGCCATGATGTATTGGATTTTGTTAGGGCTGCATATGTAGTATCTATAGTGTAAATCCTGAATCATTTTACTGAGGGAACTTAGTTTCTTGTGGCTGTAACTGTGTATTTAGCATTGCCAGGCTGGAATTTTCCACCTCAGTAATATTGCTGTGTTGAACTTTGCTATGTTTTGTACTTCAGATGTGGAGCGCAGCCCCTCAGAGATGGAGCAGGGGAGAGTGAATGTGTCCAAATGTGATGGCCCCTATAGCACTGGTCTGCTTACATATACTGAAGAGAACTTCGACAAGTTGGTGAACCTGTGCAACTACAACATCCTGAATAATAAACATTCAATTCTCCAGGCTTTGCGAACTGCGGTGGAACGAAGAAAGCAATTTAAAAACTGCTCATCGCCTCAGCCGTCTAAACTTTCTTGAAGTATATTTTGACATACCTCATCAGCAGGAGAAATAGAATGTTTTGGCAATGGATTTATAAATATTCAGGGAACGTGAATCCATACAGAATGAACATACATGTCAGCTTGTTAAAAAAATATATATGTTTTACTCAGTACTATGTGTCAAGACTTATGCTGGTTCTGGCACTAAAGTCATCAACAAATCATGATTACTTAAAAAAATTCTCTCCACTGTTTTAAGGATTGGAAAAGCAATTGTAGAATTAGGATCCTATTTGCATATACAGATATAGAAGAATGAGATTTTAACCTCACAAATGTTTGCCCCAGATTTGGATGCAAATCTAAGTCGTATATGATTTATGAACCAGAGACCAAAGCAAAGATCAAGCAAAGTCTTGCCTTTGATTGCAGATCTCTGCTTGTGACAGTAAGAACTCAACCTGATACCAAAAATGTTTGCACCTGGAAAAAGAAGGCTGATAATTGCGGAACAGAACTGCACATAACATCTTCTGCTTTCTCAGTATCCATCTGTTAGGATAACCTTCAGTTAATTTACCTGCTTGGCTGTCGTTGCACTGAGTCTGCATTTTTGATAGATACCTCATGGTGATCAATATATAATAGGTTGATTTTTTTTTCTGTCAACTCTCTGATAAAAATCATCTGGCTCCACCCATTTTCGGTGGACTCTCTGAACTACCGCCTACCAAGTAGATCTTGATGCTGCGGATAGAAGTTAAGGTTCTGAATCCTTCACTTAATGGGTTTGATAAACAGTTTAACAGCCTAGCCTTTGGCCATAAACATATCTTCATTTATTAATCTGTTGCAAGCTCACAGATGTTCATGATGACAACAAAACTTGTGATACCAACTCCTTTGACTTCTGCAACATGGTCATTGTGCAACACTGTGCAACAGATGGTCACTGTGTAGCTGCTGTTACGCTTCTATTCCCAGTGCCATTCTAAACAGTGTTAATCAGATTTTCATACTTGTTTAAGATACATTTGGTTTGTCATTCTTAGATCTTATTTTCTCTTGTATGCATCAATAGATATACAGTGTAATAGCTACCATTCAAATACCAAGTACACATGCATAATCTTATTAGAAATAAAAGTCTTATACATGCAATAATTGAATTATTTTATTAAGTTCTATGGACTTAGCTAAGCTAGTGAGTTGATCTGTGAAAAAATGCTTCTTGCTTCTGATACCAAGAAAACAAATATTGAGGGAACAGAGGCATTCACGGGCTTTGCTAATGACCTTTGAGGAAGGATAAAAGAAAAGCTGCCACTTTAACAGTGGATCATGAAAAACGGAAGGAAACTCTGCTCACTAGAACGCAGAGGACTGGGATGCTGAGAGGTTAACAAGTCCAAATACTGACACCTGCAAATACCAAGGTATTATTCAGCAACGGAGTGCAGAACTTGGCCAGCACTATCTATCTGTCTATCTATACATCTAATCTATCTATCTACACATCTAATCTATATATCTATATCTATCTTCATTAGGGGTTTTTTTGCTGCCTTTTGAAGTCATCTCATTCATTACACTGGTGTGAGTATAAAAAAAACCAGAAAGTGCATCCTTCTGTATGCTGACAGTGTGTCCATATTACCCTGGAAGTGTGGCGCCTTGTGCCTCCCTCTCATGCGCCATGCTCAGAAGGTAATGGTTTCTGTCATCCAGTCTTCCAGATGTGTTTATTAAGCAGGAGATAACATTGTACTTTGTAACCTTTGAGACTATTTTTTTTCTGTGCATCAGTTCAATTAACAGGAGATGATGCTAGCAGGTATCTCCTGTCAAGCTTTGTTGCAATATGAATCAAGCCAATAAAGACTCCCTTCAAAAGAGAAAAGTGTTGGCAGTAACCTTCGCATTTCCTTTACATGGATCTAAGGTGGTCAAATACAACAACTCTTTTATTTCTCAGTCACTGATAAATCCTTCTTTTTCAGCTCTGCCCTCTTAACCAGAAAGCCAGTTTTTCACCTTCTTTTCTTGCCCTTGGTTAAGATAATTGGATGTTATGTCTCACCGGTAAGACAGCAACAGTTTTCCGTGAGGAAAAAAGAAAAGGAGAGTATGTCACTTTGACAGTTCAATTGTGTTCATAAGTTCGTTTTTAAACAATAATGAAATGGGTTTTAAAAAATTTGATTAATTTTTCTTTGCTAAGTATCTTTCAAGTATTTTAAAGATTTTAAGAATAAGACACAACAGAGGCAGTGCACTTTGTGCCTGGCGTATTCCACCAACTGGTTTTTGTAGTTGCAACACTTGGCACTGGGCCTTGAGCTTTACTCATCCAAGGTGTGGTGATGTGTGTTTTTTGGCAGTAGATCCAGAAAACTAGGACAGCTTAGAATGAGCTGAGGAAAGGGTGTCCATTTTAAGAAATCCAGGCCTGTTGAGCAAGCCGCTGAAAAATCTTACGTTGCCCAAATTGTCTAGCTTAGCAGCTCAATATTTTGACTTGAAGGAAAGTCAGACAAATGCTGGTGTTGGAGTTGGGACCTGGCTCCAACTATCCAGCATTGCACGTGAGGCTAACACCTTCCCTGGCCTTGCCAAGCTCAGTGGTCTTACCTTGATGGCTTCTGAATTTTCTCTGCGATGGACTCATTCGGTTTCTTGTCTGGGAAAGGGAAGGCTTCTTCTCCTGTCCTACTAAAAGTGGATCCTGTTGTTTGCATTGCAGCGATACCTCAGAATCCTGCCTATGAGGTGATGGTAAAAGGAGAGGGGAAGAGATCTTCCTTCAAGTGGCTTGCCAGCTATTAATAAAAAATAATAAATGAGAGCAGAAGGTCAATATTATGACCTGATGCTATTTCTTAGGAAAGGAGCTGAGGCCCAGTGACGTATCAGCTGGATTTTTCAAAGTGATTCAGCATTAGTGTAATTGTTCTATTTAAGATCCAGATAGGTCAACAACTTTTTTTTAAAATTTGAGAACATCTGTTTGTGGCCTGTCACACAAGCTCTGCTAAATGTAATGGCATGATCGTGTAAGCAATTAGCGGTGAATCTTTATAGTCTCTCTATTAGGACGCAAACGTCTCTGAGGCTGAGTGTAGTAGATGAAGTTACCCCCTTAATTAGCTGATGACATCAGGTGGCTTCCTGATTTTCTGCAGATTGGTTCAGATTCAAATTGGCTGTACATTTCCCTGTAAAGGTCCTGGGTTATACGTCTTGCCAAGTTTATGTCAGAGGAATTACTGGCTAATTAGCTGACATGGGCTGGTGCTGGTGTTTGTCATGTCTGTGGTCTGACAGGGTTAGGGAATTAAAAAAGCTGCTTGAACAGTTTCTGAAGTGTTGAATGGACTTGGAAAGGTCAGACGACCTTGGGCTGCTCCTGCAAGGGTAAAGGCAGATGCTGCTGGATGCTCAGATCTATAGAGCACAGGGAGAAGCAGACATAAAAGTTGTGAGCTACTGCTTTTGGAAACAAGGATTGGATTTGAAATTATGTTGCAACAAAACTGAAGGCAGGATTGCACATATTGGGTACAGCTGGGACAATACTTTACTGATGATTTTTGAATGGCAAAACTACTTCTGATGAGTGAGTAGGAGGAGCAAGATCTTTATCTCTCCAAAACATATCAAAGGCATGTGGAGTCATTTATAATCAAGTTTCTTAATAGTCTTTTGAAAGCAGAAGTCCTCCTTCATGTGTGTCATAATCGAAATAGTAATTTAAGTAAAAATATAATCCGCCCTACATTCAGCTAATGTGATAGTTTTGTCTCCAATGACTGATTTTGCACCTTTCATTCTCAGGAGTTTAAATTCAGAGTCAGACTGAGGGTGTCTCCTGCATACAGATGTATTACATGAAAATGTTTGGCCTGTCGCCTTTAGAAGATAGGAAACATTTTGTGGATTTCTTTCAGCAGGTTGTTTTGATTAAAGAAAGAAAGAAAAAGCCATACCTTGCTAAAAGACCTAAACATTTTGGCTTTGAAAAAAGTGAAACTTGTAATGGTTTTTTATTTTGCAGAGTTTTTAATGCAAAATAATTTTTTTTAGAAATGATGTCTTATAGGTGTAGTGTAAATTGAAGAAAAAAACTTAAAATCTTCTCCATTGAACAAATAATCACTAATATTTTAAAATTTATTTGTCTCAAAGACTATATCCTTTGCAAAATCCTCTACTCAGCCAGTGCCTCCCCCAGATCATATTTTCACACATTTGGTGCAGCTCTCCGCTCTCTTCTGTTAAGATACACCCGTGATTCTGGGTGTTTTCAACTCAGATTTTAGTTCATGACACTGTAAATTGTAGTGATCCTGACAGCTGATTTCCTTTTAGCCAAAAGTGGCCTTCATATCTCTCCTTTATGGTTGGACATCTCTGCAGACTTGTATGCACGGTAGCGTACAGGTCCTATGTTTCTTACCTGATGGGAGAGGAAACTGTGGGCACTGAAGGGATGATTTCTGTTGCCCTCACCTGCTCTGTCACTGTGGGCACACCCTTTTCCAAGAATCTGAGAATGCTTTCTCAGGAAGTCATTTTTTGCATCTTATGTGATTTTTATTTTTGATCTTATGCGATACAAAAGATCAAGGGTACAGGATGTTAAATATGTTGTATGTAAAAACATGAAAATAAAATGCCAACATGTTAACGCGGAAGTTAGTTGGTGGGTTTTCTTGTTGTTGGTGGGTTTGTGGGTTGGTTTTGTTGTTGTTTGTTTGTTTAATACCAGGAAGTTGCTTTAAATTAGTGGCAAGCCAAGAAGTATCTAACCAAAGCTGAATATTTTAGAGATGGAAATCTGATGCCATAGGGAAGGAATTGACACTTTATCATCTACAGTAAATCTTCTTGAGTGCAGAGATTATTATGCTTAGGTCCCTTGTGTAACTGGAATTTGACTTGGACTGCTTGCTGTCTTGTTTGGTTGGCAGGATGAGGTCTGTTTTGGTGTTGTATCTTTTTTTTTTTTTAATTAAAAGGAAAACAAAAAAGACTGAAAAGCTAGAGCCAGGGAAAATCCCCAGCTATGGATCTGACACTGTATTTGTTTATTTGCTAATTTGCTTTGTTAATTCTGAGTATTTCTTTTCAAATGTGGCATCTGGCTGTCATTTTGTGACACCTTTAGCATGTTTTTGGATCATAGAATAACAGAATGGTAAGGGTTGAAAGAGATCGCTGGAGATCATCCAGTTCAATCTTCCTGCCAAAACAGGTTCACCTATAACAGGTTGCAGAGGAACACGTTCAGGCGGGTTTTGAATGTCTCCAGAGAAGGAGACTCCACAACCTCTCCGGGCAGCCTGGTCCAGTGCTCTGCCACCCTCACAGTAAAGTTTTTCCTGGTGTTAAGATGAAGCTTCCTGTGTCCCAGTTTGTGCCCCTTGCCACTTGTCCTGTAGCAGGGCACCACTGAGAGTCTGGCCCTGTCCTCCTGACACCCTTCCTTTTGATATTTATAAGCACTGATAAGATCCCCTCTCAGACATCTCAGGCTTTCCTTTTTGTAGCCCTTCGCAGAACTTTCTCCAGTAGTTCCCTGTCTTTCTTGAACCAGGGAGTCCAGAACTGGACACAACAGTTACTTACCCTTCTTGTCGCATTTGAGGTGTTTAAATGATGACCAATTCCTATTGTCATCCCAAAGGTGATACAAGGATACTTTTCTCTTGCAATAATAAGAAATATCCCATTAGTCATATATTTCTGTAGTTCTGGATTATCCGAAGGTGACTAAGCAGTGTATAAGGTAAATGTGGGCTACTGGATGCAGCTGTTATTGCTACCTGCAACCTACTGCACTTAGATATAAATTATCTGAATATCATGTTGAGGAAACTAGTGCTTGCAATAGGGTAGTTTAGATGAATTTTGACTGCCTCAGATCAGCAAGACATTTATATTTACTCCACTTTACCTTAATTAAGACACAGATACAAAATCACATGCATGTAGGCGTGTACTACAAACTAGATGGAGAGCAGAGGAAAATTATATCTTCCTTTTAACTTTCCTTGTTATTACTCAGAGCTTTAAAAAGGCTGCTCTGTGTTCCCTCATCAGTAATACAGTCTCTCTAGTCCTTAAAAAGCAAAGAGTCTAAGTAAGCAGAATGGATATGAAGAACACTACTGCAAATATGACTGCTCAAAGAGCCAATATATGGCTTTTTAGACTTTGGATAACTTCATCCACGAATTTACTTACTGCATGCTTGATGGTTGTCTTTGAAATGGTCCCTGAACTGTGGAAGAATGAAGGAAAAAAATGGAAAAAACCCAGCATGACAGTTAAACTTTGAAGTAGTAATCTCTTTGAAATCATAATCATAAGGATGCATTTCTACCTGTAAAACACCAATGGGACAAATTACAAAATCACGCTTTATTTTCAAGCAGATTGTGTAGTCCTTAGACACCAATGAATAAGCCATCAGCAGTTCATATTGTCTCACTGATGACAAGAACTTACTATTATGGGTGTTACGAGCACTCAGTTTAATCATGAACTTACTGTGTGAATGAGAAACTGTTGAGATCATAGTTCTTGACTTGCACAAAGCTTTTACAGCTGCTACATTCCAAAGCCACCCTGTGTGGCTTGGGCAAGCAGCAGCTAAGTGAAGACATCAGCTACAAAACTTGGTGATGGTCATGAGCACGAGAGGAAGAATTATTTAGGGATGTTTTGAGTATGGCATGAGGATGTTATTTTGAGAAAGGGAAACATAGTCTGAACATCAGGAAACCATTCAGTGAGCAAGATGCACTCTGGAATAGTGTTCTAAATGTGAAGTGGTATCTTATTTAGTGGTGTGGGTGAGAGAAGATGGGATGTCAGAGTCTTGTATTGGCTATGAAGCAGCTGAGATTGCATAAATGCATCTATCTATCTATCTATCTATCTGCTGATAGAACTCAGAGAATTTGAGCTGGATAACCCACTTCCTTTCATCTGATAGAGAATGTTCTACAGACATTTTTAATGAAAGCAGATTCTCAGTTTAAATTATAATACTCCATTTTTTTTCCCAGGAAAGCATTCTTCTTTCAAAAGCTGGAAAGTCTAGTTTTGCAAGAGCACAAGTAGATGATTCTCAGCTGTGACTGCTCCACCTGAACTTGTTCATATGCATTTAACATAGATATAAAGACACAAGTTGAGGGAGGTATTTTGTCTTTGAAGTAGAGATACTCATATACATTGGAAATATCTTTTGATCTTTCTTTCAGGAAGCATTTCAGATGCTGCAAGTTTAGATTTATGAGCCGTTTTGCTTTGATTCTATATCCACTGAGAAGGATGTACAAAGTGTGACTATGGAGCAAGGAGCAGGTTGTTAAATGTTTTAGATAGAAACCGCCAGGTAGTACCTATGCATATTTTGCATGAGACCTTCTGAACAGTCATCATATGTGAATAACACAGATATCGACATAGATGGCAGCAACTTGTGTGTAAAAAGAGGACTGTACTCTAGCAAAGTTCCTTGGACAACACCTCCTCTCTTCCTCTGAGCAGAATTGCTTTGATACTGGCCTTGGTGGCACAGGGGAGTGCATTTAGGTGGTGTCCACTGCAGTTTGCAAGGTTGCTTTCTTTACCTGCATGAAATGAATTATTCCTCAATATGAATGGAATTGATTTAAAAGTAAGTGTAAGATACCGAACCTATCCCTAACACACTCCCCATGTCCTACTTGAATCTCATGATGCAAGAGTGAGTGCTACCCACCTCCTGTCATCAAGCAGAGTCAGGAAAGATTGTGGCAAAGCCAGAGTCTGGTCTTGCACAGTCCAAAATCTACCAGCCTGCACAGATATACTGATTTAGGGCTACTATAACCACTGCTCTTACAGGCAGTGAGTCACTGCAGACTAGGGTAATGAGGAGGCAGGGAGCATTTCATTTCATGTCCCTATGTTTCCTGCATGGTGGCTGCTGGGCCTGCTGTGAGAGCGAGCACACACAAGATCCCTTTAAATTAAGCTCTGGGGATGGGTGAACTGTTGCGCTCCTTTGGCCCACGCAGGAGAGCACAACCCTCTCTCTTGCCTCACCCTTCCACCCTCAAGTTTCATCTACTGCTTATAGCTCCTCCCTTCCCTCTTACTGCATTTCAATATCAAACTGCAAACTTTCTGGAGACAGATTCTTCTTTTTTTCTAGATATATGCTAAATATCCAGGCAAAGAATACTGAGTGCATGGTGAGGTGACTGAGTGTAGCATAGAGATGTCCAAAATAGCTTTAGAGGTGCATGAGTCCTTCAGTTGCTTAGTTGTGGCAGTGCAATGGGGCCACTTACCCTGCTGAA